AGAAAATAATTTATAAAACAGTGAGTCGATAACAGTGCGCTGGATGGGTGCCACACATTGTTCCGTACAGTTAGAGGAAACGTCTATTTTTTGGGAATCACCTGTAATTTTATTCATACTCATAACAATTGCAGGTATGCTGATTTGGATGTAAAATCTAAGAAAATATAAAGTAACTCCTACAACTAAGAATTACAATGAAATCTTTTGGAAACATCTTCTTCACTGTGTTGGTTGCCGACCCATAAGAGAGAGAGAGAGAGAGAGAGTGTTTTATTTGTTTAGCCATTTTTACTATTCTGTTTAATAATTGTTTGCTCCTGATTTATATTTAATTGATGGTCCAAGCTTAGTCCAAGTTATTTCAATTTTTTGTGTAGCCTCACTGTCTTAAAACAAAGCAACAAAATAGTTTATTATTTTGTACTATATTATAGTTTATTTGGATAAAAAATATTATAGTTTATTTGGATATAAACCCAATTTCATTATTTTTGGGGGTTGAACTATAAGTGTGTGGTATATTGATCCAAAAATCACGGGGTAATTTTGGTTGCTTCCCGATAATATTGCAAATATAGATCTAGGTTTTCAAGAGATCCCACTGAGTGAAAGTCCCTCAATTTAAATAGATCAAAAATCTATGCACTTTATTGAAAGTGGATTTTAATTAGGGTTTGATGATTTAAACCATTTTAACCCATGTAATATTTTGGGGTGAGTCCATATACACATATATGAATTTCATGCCAAAATCTTAGGACTGAGAAGGACAGCTTGGGTACATTGAAGACGTGTTAGGGTTTTTTTTGCGGGGAAAAGACGTGTTAGGGTTTTAGACCTTCTAAAAGATGGGGGTTGGAATTATCCTCATTTTCAATTAAAATTAATTAAGCATTATCTTATGAGATGGTTATTATGCACAATCAATTCCTAAGTAATATCATTAATCTGGAGGTTGTTACACTAATATAGTTTGATGAAATTTTTCTCTTGATAGAAAACATATACCATGAAGCTCATGTGCTTGGTACTTTCGATGGCTATTAAGTCGTTATATCTTGTGAAGCTTACCAAATAGCAAAACACTTAAAAAAGTGAATTGATTTATTTAGGATAAAAAAGGGAATTGCTTAGCAGTATTGATTCTGCAGTGTCTTTCCATTTTCGTTGGCTTTCATGGCTTTCTACACTGGATGAGCAAAATCCAGAAGGGAATCACATAGTTGAAGAATGGAGCATTATTGTTGAGCACTCTATGTAAACACTAAAGAGATTTCATATGAACAAATGTGTATATATCATAGCTGCAGTTGTGCGGGGTGATAGAAGAGATTTTTTACCAGATGTTTTTACTTTTTTTTACCAGAATACCAGATCGTGTATGAAAGGGTAGTATTGGTATTTTTACATAAACTGACAAGGGTTATTCGATCTAACAGCAGAGGTATAACGGTAGAGCAACAACGACAAATTGGCAACAAAACAAGCTTGTAATAGGTAGAAGAGCAATGTTCGTTTGTTTGATTGCAAATGAGCAATAGCCGAGCTTGTCTATCATAAATAAGCAATTTAATCTTTTTTTTATTCTGGTATTTGCATGCTATGGATAAAGAGAGATTTAGTAGTAATCTTTAGAGTCCTGCTACAGATACGATAAATTTCATACGATGCGTACGACACTAAATCACAACCATCAATTGTGTAATGCTAGTTTTGCTATAGGGCTGCACATACTAACATACGAGAATCATACCTAACAAATTTATTAAGTTGAAGCAATACAATGCTAGATTTGTAATGATCTCCTTGTGTTAAGTTGAAGCAATGCAATGCTCGAGTTTACATTATTTATAAAAGTATTGTGAACAAATTTATTTTCATTCTGACATTTATTTTAATGTTTTTTACAATGTGTAATGATAAGTGATTGCTTCCTTGAGGATCACATGCTGAATTACCCCTTTTAAACCCACTTTGAAGTACGTATAGACTCATTTAAAATGTGTTCTGTTTAGAGCATCTTCAACAGCCATCCAACGCGCCGCACGCTAAAAACTGCTTTGCCGCGCGTCTATCGTCTGGTTTGGCGCGACAGGCAGCGCTGGCTCCAGCTGCCGCGCTAAAATGCAGCGCGCGTAGCTCTAGCAGCGCGCAAAAATATAACGCACGCGACTCTCGCACAAACAACATATGCATTCCAAACACAAGCAGAAAGATCAAACACAAACAAAATAAATCAACAATAAATAGTTCAATTTCGTTATTACAACTCAAACAAATAGTTTGTCGTTCAATACAACAAATAGTTCAACAATACAACATCAAACACACAAATCATGATGCTCTTTGTCGGCCATTCCAAGCCCACCACTCCATAATAAGATCCTTCTGAAGATCATCATGCGCTACGGGACGTCGAATGTCATGATAGGAGGCAACAAAACGGGCCATCCTTTCAGCCCTCTGTCGCACTCGCACGAGATGTCCCAAGAGCTCATACTAAGAGTAGTCTACATCTTGGTCACGCTCATTCTCGATGATCATGTTATGCATGATCACACAAGCGTGCATGATGTACCAAAGCATCTTTTGATCCCAAAATCTAGCCGGTCCTCTCACAAAGCAAATTGGGCTTGCAAAATCCCAAAAGCTCTCTCCACATCTTTTCTAGCCACCGCCTGAGCATTGTGGAAATCTAGATTTTTCTTACCTTCCGGTTTTTTCAACGACTTCACAAATGTTTGCCACTTTGGGTAGATCCCATCCGCAAGATAGTAGCCATAGTTGTATGTACGGCCATTTGCTACAAACTGCACCAGTGGCAAATCACCATTTGCAATCTTATTCACCAGTGGTGACCGGTTGACAACGTTGATGTCATTCAAAGATCCAGACATTCCAAAGAAAGCATGCCAAATCCAAGTCTCTTGATCGGCCACCGCTTAAAGGATTATAGTGGAACCCTTTTTTGGCCGTGGAATTGCCCATGCCATGCCTTTGGAAAATTCTTCCAACTCCAATGCATGCAATCTATTGAGCCAAGCATACCTGGGAAGCCGCGAGATTTGTTCAACTCCAATAGCCTTGCGGCGTCTTCAGCATTGGGAGATCTCAAGTACTCCTGGCCAAACACTTGGACAATTCCGACTGCGAAGCGCTTGACACACATGATGGCTTGGCTCTCACCCATGGCCAAGTGATCATCAACTAGATCAGCTGGGATACCGTATGCCAACATACGCAAAGCGGCTGTCACCTTCTCAAAGGTGCTATGTCCGAGCTTTCCGGCGGCATTCCTCCTTTGCTGAAAAAACCGGTCATGGCTCGCTAGTTTCTCTGCAATGCGCCTGAACAGCTAGGTGCTCATCCTAAACTGGCAACGAAAGTACAACTCCGGGTATGTGGGATTCTCCACGAAATAGTGCCTCATCAATCTGTTATGGGCATCGATCCTATCCCTCCAAATTTTTTGCCGACCCATAACCGAACCACCGTGCTTCGGTTTTTTATTGATGTGCATAGCTAGGATCATTGCAAGATCCTCCTCTTCCATAACAAATTCTTCTTCGAAAGAATCATACGACGAACTCATCTACAATGTTCAATACTAGGCTTTAAAAACTGCAATCAACATGCACCAAATTCATGAAGTTTGAGCAATACATACCTTGCGGGCGTTTTGTCGAACACCTTGCGGGTGCCGAGCGGCAGTGAGCGGCCGGTCGCTGTTCGTCGGAGGACGGCCGCGCGCGAGGGGCGACGGTGACTAGAGGAAGACGGAGGAAGCCGTCGCGGCGCGGGGATAGGCCGGAGAAGCGCCGGAACGGTCGCCGGAATAAATGGAGTGGCGCGGGCGGTGGCGCCGCGGCTGGATAGGGTAGGTGGAGTTGCGAGCGAGCGCTCGAGAGTCCAGCACGCGGGAGCGGGCGCAGCAAATAAGCGACGCACGTTGGCGTTTCGGTCCGCGCGTTGAACCAGATATGCCGTGCGCACGGTTTGTGCGCCTCCGCTGGAGCGCCCGGAGCGGTAGCGCGCGTAAAAAAAAACACTGATTTTTCAGTGCGGCGCTTATATAGCGCGACTGTTGGAAATGCTATTATAGAAACATGAAGTCTACTTCCATATGATAAGTCTCTTGTGGTTGTGCTCACTATTTTCTGTACTGTAAAACCTGTTGGACCTAAGGGGTATGTATGTTCTATGCCTGACTGCTATCTTTATATATGTTAAAAATGCATGATTAAGGGCTGCTAGGTCAATTATAGAACCCTGTTTCTTATAAGAAACAGTTCCCAACAAGCCAACCATCAGAACAGCTCGGTACCAAAGGTATCTTATAATGGCCATCTAAAAATCTCCCTGCTTCTCATCCTATTATACTACTATAGGAGCGAGGGATCACATTGTGAACATCTCATGGCCTTCATTAAGCAAATAAATTTTGGTTCTAATTGGCAGGCATTCAGCAAAGGAAGACGAGACTTAATCCTCTCGCTGCAGGGGCAAGGGCATGTGCTGCGATTTGGGCAAGCAGGGGACCTCTGCCGAACCTGAACCCCATTCCATGTAAAAATGGATCGTGCGGCGATCAATAATCGGGCGGAGGCCCGCCGAACACTGCTGACAAGGTCTGGCCGCGGGAGGCAAAGGATGATCAGAGCATGCCCGGCCTATGCGCGTAGCAGGACCCAACAAACGGTGTTAAAACATAAATTCATCTCTACGCAGGAATGAATCTTGGTTTGATTGAAGTTAGGCAGAGGTAACAAGCTAGCGCCCAACTGTGTCGTCGAAGTAATGGCGGTACTAGAAGTTATTTTAAATTTTAAACTATCATATCTGTCGGTGAGTGAGCTGAGCAGACCCTTCCCTCGGCCGCGGTTATATAAGCAAGCACCTTCCCATGGCATCCTTCCCGCCACAAACCAAGAAAAACCCGAACACGCCCACTGCCACCACACCACGGCCTGCCGTCTTCAACCCTCGGAAAGCCGACGATGAGGCACGCACGCATCACGGTGGCGGTCGCCGTCGCATTCGCCGTCCTCGCAGTCACCGCCGCAGCCTCCACGGGCGCCACCGCCGCCGGGAGGGGGAAGCAGCAGCGCGCTCCAGGCCCCGCTTCCGGCTGCATCGTGTACATCGTGATGGTGAAGCCCCCGGCCGTCGCCGCCGACAGCGCGGCCTACCATATGGGCATCCTCATCGCCGCGGTCGGCAGGTATGTACGGAGCACTTGGTTTCTTTTCCCATCTTTGGCGTCGAATGGCCTAGAGATTTGACGCCATCCTTTCTCTTGTTTCGACTGAATCTTCAAGCAAGGAGAAGGCCGATGCGGCGTTGGTCTACAGCTACAAGAGCGCCATCAGCGGGTTCGCCGCGAGGCTCACCCCCGCGCAGGTCGCCGTCCTCAGGAGTGAGTTCCCCTCTTTCTCCTCTCCTCTGCTTTGCTCTGCTCTGCTCTCACAGTCAACTGAATTCCTGTAATTAGCAAGTAGCAGTAAAACTACAGCTACAAGAGATTTTTTTAATTGCATGATGCACAGCTGATGGTCAACTAGGGCAAACCCACAGTATATGCAGTATTCTTTAAGATCACACAAGTGGGTAATTTTAGTCAGACCTGTTGGCAATACCGAGGTCAATGCAAGACCTACTCACACCACATCACATGGTTAATATGCTAATTTTTTCACCATTGCCAAGAAAGGTGCACAACATCAGCAAGGACCGACATTATAAATGTATACTGTATGGTACAGCCCTGCAAATAGTTTTAGCAAACTTTCGGTATGTATATTTTCCTTTACCGAGAAGAAAATTAGCTGCTTCACTTTCGGTGTCCAACTCCTGTCATCCAAGTGAAGTAAACTTTTGCCGTCCAACTTAGTCGTTAAATTAACAAATCCAGTTTAGCTATATGCTACCATCATCACCTCCTCTTTCCATTGGTGCATGTGCTTGTTAGTGCCTTAAAAAGGGCACACAAATTATTATTTTTTGACCGTTCTTTAATTTCTCTCCACCTTTTCCAGAGAACCCTGCCGTCATCCGGGCGCAGCCTGATGTCAAGTACTCCCTTCACGACGACCACAACAACAACAACAACAACCTCAACTGAGCAAGAGCTCATGTCCTGTTATTAAGGGTTGTTGCGCAATATGGAGCAAGAAGCGGCGCGCATGATCTGCCCTCGAAGAATCTTGATATGATATATCTCTGCATACTTCAAAATTACACACACATATATATAGTGTAGCATTGCAAGAAGTTTATAGTGTAATTTGTTTAGAATTGTTGCACCTTGTATAACTCTGTCTGCGTATATACTGATGGGCAAAGATGTCTGGTTTGCTACCATATTATATTTCCTCTGAAGGGGTTGTGCAATGGGTTAGGTTGGGTTGTCCAGCGTGCGGGTCATAAACTGTAATGCAAAGGTGCAAGTGAGAGTTCTGTTAAGAGGGTGATAACATATACAAGAAAGTAACCTACCCGTTGCACTTAGCTTCTATGCAACGAAAAGTAGACAAATAGTGCAGTCAGCATAAATAAAAGAGTTTGCCCAAAAAAAGCATATATAACAGTAATTGGATTCATGCCACTACAACTTTCACGAATTAAAAAAAACGCCACTACAAAAAACCGAAGTTGGAAATATGCCATTGCAACTTTGTCATCCCACTACATATGCCATTTTCGGCCCACCGGAGTGAATAACGGTTCATTAAATTTATATTGCAGTACTGCCCATACCAGCCTTGTGCAAAATGGTGCACAACATGGATCAAACAGGACTTAGAAATTGCCAACAGTTACGAAGCACGCTACATTATTCTTTGTAGGTTGCGGAGGCTGTGCGCAAACTCAGATTCAGCATAACCCGAACTTTACGTTTTATGAACACATAAAGACATTGTAACTTCATTCATGTTGCGTTCAACATCACATACACACTCAATTTCATTGACATCGCATTCAACATCACATAGACATTGCAATTTCTATTAGTGTGACTTGTTTTCAACATCAAAAAATTGAAATTAAAATTGGCCTAAAACGACAAATTGAAACCCGGTTTTATTTCGTCGGCTTCGGCGGTATGGAAGTGACTTCATATGAGGAGGAGTCTTTGGCTACTTCGACTTCTTCCATGACGAGATCAATATATCAATGGGATTCTTGGATGAGGAGAAAGGCCACATCTTTGTAGCCCTCCATAACCGCTGATTTCATTTCGGCCATGGCAGTGGCCTCCACGCGGTCGAGGTACCAGCAGGCAGCGGGGAGGTGCTCATCTCCAATGGCCGACTCGACCTCACGGAGAGCTAAGACTTCAACCTTAGAGTACCACTGGACAGTTTCCCAATACTCAGAGGCAGCACGGTCCTCTTCGGTCTCGCCCGAGAAGGGTCCATGAGGGGAGCCCTGGTGCGACATGGCAGAGACGAGGTGGGCGCGAAGTAAGATAGGTGGCGAAGAGGAAGATGCATGGGTGAGTGTGATGGTTACGAATAAGGCATACGCCTTATATAGCCGCAAGCAGCACACTCCGGAGGTAAATAGAGTTGGAAAAGGGCACGCTCCGGCAGGAAAGATCATGCAGGAAAAAAATGGGCGTGAGCGTGGGGGACACAAGGCGACGACTGTTAATGAGCAAATTTCCAGATAGGAACGATGGTTACGGGATTGCTATAGCATTTGCCCCATTGACAGGGACATGAAGAGAATGGCCGAAACTTTCTCTTGCGCAAATGGTTGGATATGGAATGTGCTCTGTATACACTCCCTATACTACTAAGAAAAGGGCTATAGATGAAATTGACACTAATGGCGCATCAGACGTGGTGCGCCACTACTATATACTAATGGCGCACCATGTGCTGATGCGTCATTAGTGTGGAAGACACTAATGTCGCACCAGACACACGGTGCGCCACTAGTAATATTTTTTTTCATTTTTCCAAACATACTAATGGCGCATCTAGACAAAGTGTGCCATTACTAGTTCTAACTAGTAATAGCGCACCAGCCACACAGTGCGCCACTACTGTATTTTTTTTATTCTTTTCTTTTGCAAAACTACTAATGACGCATCGTGGCATAGTGCGCCATTACTAGTTTAAACTAGTAATGACACACTACACAACGGTGCGCATTAGTATATATATTATTTTTTATTTTTTTGCAAAACTACTAATGACGCACGGCCAGCAGGTGCGCCAAGTATGTTGGGTTACTAATGGCGCATGGGTTGGTGGTGCGCCATTAGTAACCTGGGACCAGCTAGATATTTTGGACAGCCACACCTACACACTCACTTTCCCCACTTCATTCCCTCCATCTCCTTCTTCAAGCTTGTCGGCTGCCTCCTCCTACTCACCTCATTTGCACCATAAATTCATCAAAATTAAGTGGTTATATTACCTTTTTGATAGATAAGTAAGGGGAAAGCTATCTTTATGTTGTAGATCTACTTTTTTTCTCCCTAGCTCGCTCCAACAACGTGCACATGCACTTTTTATGGCCTAGCTAGATCTATGTATGTTTGTGGTGTTGCATATGTTTGTGGTGTTGCATATATGTTTGTGTTTGCAGGTACCGGTATTTGAAATGCGATAGTTGCCAATATTTTGCCGGAATGTTGATTCATTTCCGTTTCGGCGAGAATTATGCACTGTGCATTCTTTTTGGTCCTATTTTTAGGGAAAGTCATGCCAAATTTTTTCTTGGTTCTAAAATATCGTTTTGCTCTACCCCGCAGGCGACCATGGTCCGCACGATGACCGAAGGCATCGTGAATAGGTTTTTGAGCTCCGCGAAGGCCGAGATGCTTCAAAAGAACGAGACGGAGATAAGATGTCCGTGTCGAAGATGCAAGCTGAAGAGCCTTATTGCGGATCCAGATTCCGGGCAGGTGCGGGACCACCTGCTCTTGCGTGGTTTCATGGATGGCTATCCGTGGCAAGGTGATGAAGATGACTATGCAGTCGTCCATGGGGGAGGCAAGAAATGACGAAGGGCAGCAAGACAACCGCCGCGGCTCGGGCGGGCGAGAAGACGAAGAATCTCCAGGACATGATCACGACGGTGATGCTGTACACAGTCATCATGTAGAAGATGCCGGACATGATGATGAGGAAGATCAAGACGAAGGGCATGATCATGAAGATGAAGATGTCGGAGCAGACGATGATGGAGGCTGGGTGCAGGACCCTCATATTCAAGAGCTGCTTCTCAAGCAGATGAATAACGCAAGAGCTGCCACCCGAGAGAAAGCCAAGCTGGATCAACTGAAGATAGACGCGGTTACTCCATTGTATGAAGGATGCAGACCTGAGGATACCCGCCTGAAAGTAACGCTCATGGCTCTGGAGATGAAGGTAAAACACAAAATGACCGACGCATGCTTCGACGAGAACATGTCATTCTGGCACGAACGTCTTCCCAAGGAGAACAAGTGCCCTACCAGTTTCGAGGAGGCGAAGAAAATCGTGTGTCCTCTGGATTTACCGCACGTGAAATACCATGTGTGCATGAACAATTGCATCATTTATCGGGACGAGCACGCGGAGTCTACCATATGTCCGGTGTGCGGCGTCACTCGATACAAGAAGAGGAAGAAAGCTCCTCGAAAAGTGGTGTGGCACTTTCCGATCACTCCTCGTCTGCAGCGGTATTTCGCGGACCCTAAGGTAGCAAAGCTCCTGCGTTGGCACGCGGATAGGGAGGAGAAGAAGCGGGAAGATGACGAAAATGATCCGGAGATAAATAAAAAAGACAAGATGCTGAATCACCCTAAGGATGCGAGCCAGTGGCAAGCGTTGAACTTCGAAGACCCAGAATTTGGGAACGATCCAAGGAACATCGTGCTGGGCGCGAGCACTGATGGAGTCAATACGTTTGGCAGCCAGAGAAGCACATATAGCACCTGGCCTGTGTTTGTGTGGATGTACAACCTCCCCCCTGGTTGTGCATGTAGAGGAAGTACATTCACATGAGTATGCTAATTGAAGCAGGACCACCCTACCTAAAGGACGTCCGTTCCACAGAAGAACTCCATTTGCGAAAAAGAAGGGCAATAAGATTGTGAACAGATAGCTAGCTAGATAAGATCGATTGTATTTAAATTGTAGTATTCATTTTACGATTGTATTTCATGGGCACTTTTTGAACTATCATGAATATTTTTAAATTTCATGGGCACTTTTTGAATTCATGAAAAAATAATGAATATTCATGAGGACACTCGATATCGATCCCCCTCCATCTCGATCGCTATCCCCCCTCGCCAGATCCCCCTTGCCAGATCCCCCTCGCTGCTGAGCACCCCCCCGCACCCTCCCCCGCTCCACCATCGCCGACGACCCCCGCACCCTCCCCCGCTTCACCGTCAGAAATGAATGCAACTAAAAATCCAAAAAAACAAATTTGATTATATTTTCAAAAAACAAATTTGATTATATTTTCAAATAACAAATTTGATGATATTTTTTTATATTTATAAATATTTTCAAATAACAAATCTGATGATATTTTAAAAAAAAATTATTACTGTTTTTATAAAAAATTATTACTGTTTCATATTCATATTCTAAAAATTTATTAGATGCAACAAAATAATAATAAAAAATCTTACTTATGGCGCACGGCTGGCTAGTGCGCCATTGCTATCTAAAAAAAAGAATACTTATGGCGCACGGTCCCGCTGGTGCGCCATTGCTATCTAAAAAAAGAATACTTATGGCGCACGGTCCCGCTGGTGCGCCATTGCTATGAAAAAAACATTCTAATGGCGCACCTTCAGGGGGTGCGCCATTAGTAATTTTCCCCCATCCATACACTTCGTCCCTCCCTCTCGCCAGACACTTCGGATCTCCCTCCACTGCGCCGCTCCCTCCCTCGTCCCTCCCTCCACCGCGCCGCTGCCGCCGCTGCCCCGACCCACTGCGCCGCAGCCGCCCA